TTCAGCTCCCAAGTCTTTACTGAACACCTTTAAATTTGTCTCCTATTATTGTTTAAGTATTGGGGATACAGCAGAGGAGATCCAATAGTCCTCTGCTCATGAACCTACATTCAAGTGGCAGACACAAATTGAAACAAAAAAGTAACTATGTAGCATACTAAATACAACTAAGTGCCAAAGAGGAAAATTAAAGCAGGGAAGGGGGGATAGAAAGTATTGGAGGCAGGGTCTGCAATTTTAGATTGAACGGCTATGGAAAGTGACATTTGAATAAAGACCTTAATAAATAAGTAGGAACTGATATCCCTGAATATGGTTTCAAAAGACCTTAAAGGGCAAAAAACACTATGTTATGGCATGTAGAGGTCAGAGGAATGCTAGAAACACTTGGTAGATTTAGCAATATATTTCATGATATACAGTCAGGCTATATGCATACATATTCATGATACATTAGTTCTAAAACGCTTGAACTGGAGTTGCCAGATAAAATACAGGACACCTAGCTGGGTGTGGTGGCTCATGCCTGCACTCCTAGCACTTTGGGAGGCCACGATGAGAGGACTGCTTACGCTCAAAAGTTTAAGGCCAGCCTGGACAACATAGTGAGACCTTGTTTCTACAAAAAAATTTATTCAGGCATGGTGGCGCACATCTGTAGTCCCAGCTACGTAGGTGGCTGAAATGGCAGGATCGCTTAAGCCCAGAAGGTTGAGGTTACAGTAAGCCAAGATTATGCCATTGCACTCCAGCCTGGGTGACAGAGTGAGGCCCTGTCTCAACAAAGAAACAAAGAAACAAACAAACAAACAAAAAACAGGACACCCAGTTGAGTTTGAACTCCAGACTAACAACAAACACATCTCAGAGATACTGTGGGTTTTGTTCTAGACTTCCTCAATAAAGCAAATATCGCAATAAAGTGAGTCACACACATTTTTTGGTTTCCCAGTGCATATAAAGTTATTTTTACACTATTATCTATTAAGTGTGCAATAGCCTTATGTCTAAAAGATGTACATACCTTAATTTCAAAATATGACTAAAAAATTCTGACACAGAGACATGAAGTAAGCACATGCTGGTGGAAAAATGGCACAAATAGACTTGCTTAACACAGCGTGGGACAAACCTTCAGTTCATAAAAAACACAGTATCTGTGAAGTGTAATGAAGCAAAAGGGAATAAAGCAAGGTATGTTTGTAATGATTTAGTATAAGTATTTTCAAATACTTATTTGGACATACTTATACAAAAAAGATTATTTGTTGTTTCTAGAAAATTCAAATCTAAGTGGGTATCTTGCATTTTTCTTTGCCAAATATGGCAACTCTAACTTGGGCAAATCACCTCTCCACTTCTTCATCAGCAAAATATAAATAAAAACTCTTGCCTGAGCTAAGGAAAAAATGATTACATTTGTTCTCCTGGGCAGAACAAAATAAAAACACAAGACAAGATTTTAAAATAATTAGAGATGCATATATAGTCAGAAGTTAGAAATAAAATATATACTTAATAATGTGGTTACTTATTGTTTATGATTTTGCACGTCTGAAAGACAAATCCGTAAACATGGAAACTTCAAGGGAGAATAATAATGATGAGGTATCTGTGTGGCTGCCTTTCTAGAATCTGTGCTTTTCCTTTGGGTGGAGTCTTAAGGTAACTTGTGGGTTAAGCTACTTTTGAGTTACA